ATAACTTAATTATAAATAGAATGTTAAACGATCATTCATGTAAAAGACCCACTTTATAACGAAACTTTGTATGACTCTAAGTGTACAGTAGAGCAATATGATGTTGGCATATTAATTCATTAAAATGGTAAATCGATAACTTTAGTTATCAATAAAGACAAATCTAAGATAACGTTTGAGCTTTAGTATTCACTGTCGATAAACCCACTAGAATTCTTGTAATTCTCAATCATCACTTTTTCAAGAAAACAAATTTACGTAATAAGACGTGCTTTTTGTTATCATATGCGATGTCCGAAATCCGATACTGATGAACAGTGTGCTATATGCTAACCCCCCTCAACTGACTACTTGATTGAGTACACAAGAGTGAGCGAGAATGTGTATTGGGTTACCGAATGAATTGCACAAATACTCATTCATATATGTACCACTCTTTCCTCAAAAAATCGACCCATTGACCCAATTAACTGCACTTGATCTTTAGGTGACTTTTCATTCCCATCGACTGACCCTTTTGCTACTTCTGATTGGCTCTCCATATTACTTTTAATGCCAGACCTCACTGAACCAACAAATATGTTGTAATCTATTTAAATACAAACTAGATGTTGTTATTTGATTTCTATTATCTGTCCCACAACTTTATTATTACCTAGATACTTGAAATTACTCAAGAAACATTCTGTTAGTGTTGTGCCTTTTGAGCTAATAAAAGCAAAGCTTTTATTGTAACTCAGGACAACATTATCACATACTTCATCATAGGTACTAATGATTATTTACAAAACCCCATAAAAGTACTATTCCTTTGATATTGAAATGCACTAAAGATTTTCTATAAATTGAAATGTACTAAACTGTGATATTTCTAGTAGTTTTTTATATAAAATTTACTGTAACTGTAGTGTGTTCTACATATACTGACGTAAGTAGTATATGTCGTTACTCGTGAACAGAAGGTCTGGCAGCAGAGAGATAAGAGAATAGAATAGTAAAGAATGGGAACAGAATGCAATTTGTATGAAAATGCAAGAACAATGAAGTCTGAGTCATTATGAGACAATTGATGGACAATTTGCAAATTACGTATTTACTGTTTGATTGTTAGATTTTATTAACAAGTCCTATAATGTTGAGTCAAATACATTCGGTTGTCCCCACTGGTGTTCTGTTCACTACATAACCACTATAGCGTATCAACATAATCTAACTCTTTACACTGGTGTTTAAAGAACCAATCCCTAATTACACAACGTTAGAAAAACTAATCTTTAGACTGAAATTGATTCTTATTAATTTCTTTTCTTTTTTAATATTACTAACCTTCTGTTAATTCTATGCTAACATAATACTTTTAAATCTAAATTTTGTTTAAACTAACAGAGTGGTGAATGTACAATAGAAAATTTAAATGAATTATCCTCTCTTGGATTTACTGTTAGTCCAACAAAAGTAAGTATTTTATTACTTTAACAGTAAAATCATTAACAATAATTAATTCATTAATTAACACTCTTGAATAATTTTTATATATTCTGAATAAAAACTAGTTTTACATGAAAATTATTTTGGATCATAAAGGTCAATTTAGTATTGATCATAAATTATTATTATTCTCTGAAGAAGTGGCTTACACTGAGTCACGAAACGTCAGGAAATCTAATTTTTCTATTCATTGGGATATTACAAATATATTACTTTTATTTATTTTAAGTCAAGTATTTTTACTTGATTGATACTGTTTCAATAATCAATTTATTAATCTACTATGATTATTTACAGTATTTTTTTCTTTATAAGATCTAAATATTGTATCAATGAAATTAAGAAATTTCAGCATCTATTCCATAACTGTAGTTTTCCGTATACATAATTTAATGAATAGTAAATAATTATTTTGTTACATGTTGAGTATTGTTATGTCTTCTTGTAAGAATTAGTGACCAGTGGAGTTCAACTGGGTCTATTGTGAGATAGTAACTCATTGAAGACAATAATGGATTAGTTAAAGTTAGATGCCAGCTCAGTGGTCTAGAGGTTAAGCGTTCGCACGCGAGACCGATAGGTCCTGGGTTCGAATCTAGTGAGGCGGGATCGTGGATGCGCACTGCCGAGGAGTCGTACATTAGGACGAAACGGCCTTCCAGTGCTTCCAGGTTTTCCATGGTGATCTAGTTTCAATTGACTCATAATCTCAACTATTGAAATTCTAAGAATTTCTTAGAAGGTTTTAATTAATCATTCAATTAATTTTTTTTTCATTTTCTAAAATGTTTCTCATACAGCTGATTTTAGAACCAGGAACTGAACAACCGATTATATTCACTTGGACTCCTAATCCAGATGTGAGGGTACGTTTACAATAGCTATGACTGTTACGTATTATGAGTGGTTTCAACATTGACTAAATTTATGCTTCCATATAATTTCTTTATCCAAATTTTTTGGAGTAAACAGTATCCGTTTCGTGATGAAATGCTTATACAATTATACTTGGATTATATATATATATATATCATGCTGGATACAGTTTAGTTTAACTAATGAATAGCTATCATTATGAAGTTAAAACTTGTTGCTCTGTTTGCCTATAAAATCAAAAATTATCAACTGTCAAAGCCAGTTACTCATTAGAGAATAGATTATTCTTGATCAAATAATAGATTGAATCTTTAAGTTATGTTATTATTGAAATGTACTTTTTAATGAGAGATTAATTTGTTACATTTAGCCATAATTTTCCCTCTTTCACCGATTTTAATCTGTAAGCTAGGAATACAAATATGAAATACACTACTTGATAGTTTTGATCATAGTATGCAAATGGAAATTATAAGGTCCCTTAATCCCTGTTAATGTTTTGAAACAATGAAAATACTCAGTAGATAAATAACTGAATATTATGATTCATTTCTCTTTAACTTTTAACTTCCCATTTGATTCAGTTCTTGAAAACTGTCTTTTTATAATAATGACTATTCCAAAGTAGAATAGACATCACAATAGTATGTTTTACTAAAATAAACAAGCTTAAAACAGTACAGATATGATAGATGAAAAATGGAGTCTTCTGTTGATTCTAGATTCTTTGTAATACGATGGGAACCCATTTAAGAAAATCATTTGTTTGGCCGAGATATTCTAAAGGTACTCACAACATGCTATCATATTTTTTCGACAAATAAGTTAACAGGTATTTCCATAATGTTTAAAAGTGGCAAGCAATATGTATAAGTGCTTACATGGACATCCATTCGTGTTAAGATACAAGTTAGTTCTTATTCCTGGAAGCTATTTCCCTGAACTTCACTAAACGTTATTACATCGTTCATATGAAATACACTATTTACCATTAGGTACTCATCTTGTACATGTAGAATGAATGTATCATTACATAAATACTTAGTTGAATACATAGTATAGATATCATCCACTCAGTAAAAAGTACCTACTTCTTTATATTAACAAGCGTCGTACCTCTAAAAAATATTTAGCACCCCTTTTTCAAGTTCTCATTGTTTTACTCATAAACATTTCTCTCCTGTTTTCGGGTTGTTTAGACTGGATCTAATGTGAAGTCAATTGCTGTAATCCAGCTTCGATCTGATGTGACTATAAACCATCAAGTCTTGTTGAGAGGTGTTTTGTGAAATTATCTACAATTACTCATCATTGTCAACCACATTAACTAATGAGCATACTTTTCATACTCTTATAACTTTTTAAAAATCTTTTTATTTCAACTACAACATATTGAGATAGAGCAAGAATATGTTATTGATTAAATTTTGATTTATTTTTATTTTCTTATACAGTAATTTCATTAAATCCTCACCATAAGATTTGCTCTAAATCAAAATTCCCAATCATAACTTAACAAAACTGTAGTTTTGTGGGTAATCGTACACCTAATAATTCAGAAAGTTCAAATAACCATTTCTAACCATCTAAGAACGTTTTCTAATGGGAACAAAGCTTTAGATCCCTGTAACTTTTAGCACCCATTGATTTTAACAAAGACACCACACAGTGTAGGTGATAAGAAGTTGGTGTTGATGTACTTAATCCCATGGTAGAAAATTCTAAATAGTGTCTTTAATTATGAGGACCCTTGAAAATCTTTAAAAGTTCAATATCAAAAGTAACGGGAAGCTTTCTGTGATTGAAAATTCATAGTCATTAGAGATACATGACATAAAAAAACTTTAAAATGAAAATGTATCTGTCGACTGTAGTAATTAAATAACAGAATATAAGAAGTGTCAGTTCTAATATTATGAATACTAAAGAGTTCTCCATATTTTATCAAATATAAATCATTTATTTCATTTTGATACAAGCTATATTACGAAATAATAGTTGTAAAGAACATAGGACAACTTTTTCGTTTTAGTCTTAGACACCTTGACACCACCATGTACAGAGAATTGATTTCGCAACACCTAGGCCTCGTTGCACTTGAGTAGTAATCAGGATCTATTTTAGTGCACAGTAATAAATGCTAAATTTATCAACTTGAAGTTCAAAAAAATTAGTACTTTCGTGAGTACAATTTTTTTGAATCTATAATAATTAACTTAAAAATGTATAATAGTCTAACAATCCTTAAGAAAATTTCTTTAGAAATCTTTATAGAATATTGTCATGATAATTAATATAAGAAATCCATATGGATTATAACAAATGAAATGAGAGTTAAAAATAATACAAAGTATATGAGATATTTATTCAAACAATCATTGAAGCATAAGTTCACTAGTTGTAATATATATATTATATAATTATGAATCTAGAACTATATAGCCTGATAACGAAGTTATTGAGTGAATTATTCACAAAAAGACTCTTTAGTTATTGAATATACGATAAGCATTAAATTTAAATTTGATGAGATTCGTTTTATTGTATTTCGAAGAAAATCATGTAATAAGATTATATCACCTGAAATGATTTTTGTTTTAATCATAGAATCATCATTATAAATAAACGTTACTTACTCTGAAAGGTTTCAATTAATGTTCATTTATTCAAGTATTTTTGTTTTGCATGCTTTTAAACAATTTCTTCAGTAGAAATTCAAATTCATTCAATCAAATGTAAATAAAATTATTATGTTTCTTTTTTTGTGGGGGGGGGGGTCGTTAACAACAATAAGTTTCAATGTAATGTTTAAATCATACAATTTTATTATATAAATAAGTTTATGGTATTCTGCGATCATTTTCATGATACCATTCAGAAGAAGTTTGAATACGTTTCTCTAAATCATGTTCTGTTGAATTTAATCCATTTGTAATTTCAGATTCTACATTATTAATTTTTGTTAATTTTTCATTGCATTGTTTAGTAGTATTTTGATAACAATGATTAAAATGATTATCATTTGTAGATATGTATTCTTTTTCACTAGCTAAAATCAATTTCTTCTTGAGATTTAATATATAACATATGAGACCTAAGAGAATAGCCCTTATTGACACTAAAATTGCCATACTAATAAAAAATCCACCATATCCAAATCCATCAATAATTGCACCAGAGAATAATGGTGCTAACAGCATACCAATACCGGCAATCATTTTTGTCATAGGAAATGCAATCGATCCATGAACCATCATTATCTCTTCTGAAGTAGCATATAGAAATGTATTGCCTACACCAACAGTAGCGCCAGTAAATCCGGCCAGTACATAAACAACATTTAAATCTTCATATGTATTTTGCATAATAACCAAAAATAGAGATGCAAATAGTGCTCCAATAAAGTAGGCGACTGCTAAATAACCTCGTATACGATCACCGATTAAAGCTCCAAGTGTAAATACGACTGATTCTCCTATACCAAAGTATAAATTAACTCGGGCACCCAATACCAGTTGATCATTTAATGCCTGACTTACATAAGCTGTCATGTTCATTAGTAAACCATATATTACGAGATTATGAAGTAAGCGTTCAAATCCCCAGACGAACACCTGCGGATTATTTTTCAAATGTTCAACTGAGCAAAAAGCCCATCCACGTCCATCACTGGCTTTCGGAGAATTCCGTATCAATAAAGGATCCTTTCGTAAGGCTTTGTTCATGGTATTTTCTTCAAAAGAATCAGAAAGCTCCAGCATAGCTTGGTTATATTCAAATATATCACGCGAAATAAAAACAATCCCGGCTAAAGATGTCACGAGTAAGAAAAGTAATCCACTTAGTTGAAATGCCACTTGCCAACCGTAGCTTTGTATTAAGTTTGAATACAATGGACCAAATATTAGTACACCATAAGGTCCACCGGAAACAAATGCAGTTGCTAAAACATGAAATCGATGAGATCTGTCAAAATACTCTTCTGTTACAAGACTTGTCCCACATAAAATAAGTGTAGATCCAAGGCCATGTATTAGTGTATGAGTCAGGAATAGATATCCTGGACTAGGCACCACTGCTGATGTCATACAACTTATAAAAATCAATAAACCGGCTAGAAGCATGGTACATCTATATGGTCGATTCCATCGAATTATTGCTGTTGTAGCGAAAGGCATTAAAAAGAATCCAACTGCAGCATAACTGTCACCAACCCAATTCAATTCCGTCATGCTTGTGTCATTATAAGCTTTGTGTAGAGCAGCAACAAATATTCCGAATGCCCTTCTTTTTCCCCCTATGCAAACAACATTCAGTGCAGCAACCAACAAAACCAACCATCCTAAATGACGCCATCCATATAGTTTTACACGGGCTCGTGAAAACTTCGCATAAATTGTGTGAAATATGCTTCGAGTTAATTGAGATGTTGCTTCTTCTTTTGTCATAGCAAATGTTATAAATCTTCACAATGTATTTTAGTTGTATTACTTTCTTTCTCTTTTGATATTTGTTTTATACTCCTGATGTTTTTCCTTATAAACTCTGTATGTCATTATAGTGGTACGTGTCTGTCTTGTTTATTCCACCCCTCTATCTTGTTATTACTCTGTCTAACCCTACTAGTGATTCCAACTAAAATGTTTTAGCGAATTTCAGTCACTCATTATATACTTGAGAAATAAAGTTTAGGATAGAAGAGAACAAAAATTTTCCTATAGTTTACATAACTCCGATATCAAATATATCCAACTGATCACACAGACAAATACTCAGATTAATAAATTTACACTACGAAACATTTCGACTAGTTCAATTTTTAAAATCAAAATTTTAATGACAGGAAGCACAAAATACTTAATGGATTAAGATTAAATTAATGTATTGTTATTGCGCTGATTAAAAAGTGATTTGGCTCTGGAAGAACACCAGAAGTTGCTGTGAATAACTGAATACATTCGTCTCTGTTGGGACTGTTGACTATTTTTACTGAACCACTTTGTTCATGTTGATAATATTGTGTTATTACTATATATTTCTGTTTCGTTGGAAATTACTGAACATTATACTTCGGTTAACTGTAGAACCTGTTTTGGGATGTTCTCATCAAGAAGAAACAAGTCAGTCCGAGTTAAGTTGGTTGATAAAAAGAATGAACTTAAAGATTTCCTTCCTCTTGCACAGCAAATCACTTCTAATACACCCTTATTTCACGGTTCTGAAGTTAATAATTTCAGTAAATATAACAGTATTGGTTGTACTAGGTCTCGGCAAAGTAACTAACACAGTGCAGAAAACCATACTAGAAATAGTGGTAAGTATAGTTAGAATAAAAACACTTGAAGATTAAATGTTCATCTTGAATTAAAATCATTTAAGATCCTTTATAGCAAGGGCAAAGTTAAGTCAGCATTGTCCCCGATGGTTATAGGGAGTGACTACCGGAAAGTAGAAATTAGGTATTTCGATGCAGAACCGAGGTCCTATTGGATATTCATGTGTGCAGTTTTAATATTTGTGGTTTTGACGACGAATGATGATGAGCAATAAATACCATATCACTTCCATTACTATAAAAGTAAAATCAAGATGGCTATTGAAAATCAACTACAGTTATAGTTATCTGCAATGTATCGTAGAAACTGCAAAATTTTTAAGCGGCGCATAGGAAAAGCTCGTAAGACTACTATAGACCCATTACTGTAGTCCAAAACAGTCGCATTTAAGCAGTTTAATAGAGATGTGATTTGTGTACTGATTTATAGTGTACGAGCTGATACTATGTTAAGCCCATATAATTTGTTCCAGCCTTTAGACAAATCTATTCATTGTTCTCAAGCCTGTCAATTATTCGCTTATTAATTCTGTTTTTATGTGGTGGTATTTAGTGCATTTCGTATCTTACGCACCATATGTCTGTGACTTACTTTGGTCGACTATAAATATCGATTCACACTTGGCTAAAGTGAGCTGGCTCACTTGACTGCACTGCGCGTCGTTTAGCTTTGCTCCCTTCTCTTAGCTTTCTTTGCTTCGTTTCTCCGGCCGTTTGTTTGAATCAACGATTGTACGAAATATACGTATTAAAACATTTGTAGCGGTAAATAAGTCCCCAAAATAAATATCTCTGTAAGTTTTCGACATTGAATGCTGATCACATTGGTCTTAATGGACTCACCTAGCTGAAGGCGCTCGGTCATGTATCCGCACCAGATCACAAGTGGGAACACCGTGTTCAACAACCCTTGCAATCGCTAGCCAGATTAGATCAGACGATTCTCGATATATCGATAACCTATCAAATATATATTACGTACGTCAAGTTTGTTCCAGACGTCAGAAGTTACATAGCTGTGCCCTCACAGCAAATTTCTGAAGAAGAAAAAAAGAGAAATAGAGGAGCAGCAAGGCAATTGGATATGAACGCCAAACGTTGCTTAACATAGTGTAGTAGGACGGACAGAGTTAGAATAAATTAGAATAAATTCATATTATCTCTTGTTAAAGTGAAATGAAGTCAGAGGCTCCATATTAGAGAATGTAGTAATAAAGAAAAATGAGTTGTGTCGTTTAGCAAGTTGGAGTAAGCTCACATGAAGGAAGGGAAGTCAAGGTTGGTACAAGGAAAGCGGTTTATTAGAAGGGAGTGTGTATATAGAGGGTGAAGTGTTAAGAATACTAATGACCATATGTTTTATCATCTAACATCTTCTTTCTTTTATTCTTTGTCCATACGATGCCAGCCACACAATCCTAGTGCAAAAGCCCGAGTTAAATGTTATAGGTTGCCTTAATAGAATAGCTAGTCCAGCATAAAATTAGGAACATGAGTCTGAATGGTGAGCTCAGGAAGACAATATATATCTCAAATTGACTGTCTTATTATCAATCATAAAGAGCCTGATACATACGAAATGTTCTGCCTCACAAATATGGGTGGATTGAAGTCATCGCGCTCACCATCAATGCTTGCCGGTCAGAAATTCCATCCTCCCTCCTTTTGTGATGTTAGGCTTGTAGCGGTAAATAAATCCCCAAAATAAATAGCTACGTAAGTTTTCGACATTGGATGCTGACAATATGTTTTAGTGGACTCATCTAGCTGAAGGCGCTCGGTCAGGCATCCGCACCAGATCACGTGTGGTAACGCCGTGCTCAACATCTACCGCAATTGCTAGCCAGATTAGATCAGAGAATTCCGATATATTGGTTATCGCCAAATATACTCTTCCGATCTCCTCGACTCTGTCTTTTGATTTATCTGGGTGGGAACGAAATATATTAGAAGGTGTTACTGGTAAAAGTGTTGTCAAACACTGAATACCTGTGACATCATCAACTGTGATATCCTTATTACATGCATTATCTGTATATACATCTCGGGAGATGGCATTTATATTTTTCCCCGTGTTTATAGATTTTTTTATTATATCGGGACACATCCAAATTCATGATAATCAAGTCATCCACACACCGCATCTTACAATTTATGCCATTCTTGCTCGACAGTATCGAGGCCTAGTTCTACTATGCAGAAAGTGATTTTTACGAACACAGAAAGACAGATCCAGTTCTTTGCAGTAGAGGAGACACTGCAGTGATATTTCAAAAAGTAAGTTACAAATAGTATTTCCAGCAGTGATGTTTCAGTAAGTTATGGTATTCTGGGAAACGGGGTACTTGAATGTCGTGATTTAACCGATCAATGTGTGTTAGGCCGACTCTTTCACGACATTGAAGTGAGACGGGGCTCGGCAACAAAAGTATCGATATGTGTGTGAAACGCCATTGCTCAGAAGACTTTCAGTGAATGCATTTTTAGACGGCTATTTTCACCTGAGCCTCCCCAACAAGTATAATATGTTCTAGGTTCAGCCCCAAATAACACTGTGTGTTGATTAGATGAGGCTCTCAAGTAGATTATTTAGGCCACCAGATTTCCTAGTATCGAGGTTGGTCTTGTCAAGCAAAATTCTCAGTCGATTCACGATAATATTGAAGATCAACGTAATAACAATACTCGTTTTCTCACATTTCGTTTCATCAACTTTCAGTATAATTGCAAATAATCAAGAATTTTTCAGAGACCCTTCATGTAAGAGATCTGTTTCTGAACTGCGAGGGACAGTAAACTTTTCGTGCCTTAAGGTAACCCTCGTGCTATTGATAGAAGAAACCAGAGAAGTAGTGAATAGGTCTATATTTCGATCTTCGCGCAGTCACAGTGGAGCGTTGGATTATCTGTTCAGACAAACAAAGGCTCTCAACATTCAATATAAGATATTAGGGAATATAACGCTTATACAAAATAAGGAAGTGAATGAATACTTGAACAATACTGTTTTGGCATATGCTTGGTTGTTTGGGGTCAACTCTTAACCAACCAACCTAAGCTGTTACAAACTCATGTTGGTGCTATCAGCCCAACGCCTTTGGTTTGGTAATCCTTCTAAAAGTTGCAGGGAACCATGAATTTCCCCGGACTTCAAACTCCCCCCAAAATCAAGTCTTCCGAGAAACCCTCCAACTAGTACGCGTTAACCGGAACCGTCGAATATGACTTTTTGCTGTCCGCCACTGACATAATGAAGAAGGTTTGTTTCCTCATCACCCTCGATGGAAAATTAAGTCCTCCTCTCGTCTTGAAATTATAGACCTCAAATTGAAAAATGACCCCTCACTGACGGTATGAGATATGTTAACTTCGATGTGAGTTTGTGGAGCTTCGTTGTTGATAATCATTGACACAGACCGGCCGCAACACCACCACCACTCGTTGACGCAAGCTAACATACTTTTTTTGGCGGATATACTGAATTATCGACCTGTGCTGTTTATTTTCTGTCTGGAGCTTATATCCTGTCATATTTACGCACATGATTGACCTATACTTTCAACAGTCACTTGATAAATATCTTGTATTGTATTGGGAACATGAGTCTGAATGGTGAGCTCAGGAAGACAATATATATCTCAGATTGACTGTCTTATTATCAATCATAAAGAGCCTGATACATACGAAATGTTCTGCCTCACAAATATGGGTGGATTGAAGTCATCGCGCTCACCATCAATGCTTGCCGGTCAGTGACTCCATCCTCCCTCCTTTTGTGATGTTAGGCTCATTGAAGCTTATTTTTGGATATATATCATACCTCACATAATCCTCTGGGTTTCACATCCTGTTGGAAAGCACTATTTTTATAAGTACCATTTTACAAGTTTATCAGGCAGTTACTAGCTATGGACTGTGGATAAGGCATCGATGCAGTGCTTTAATTGACTACAGTATAAAGTGTAGTTTGCCAATTAGAGTATAAGCATTAAGAAGGGTGTAATGTAGGATAGTTGTTTATTAAAGCAGGCGTAAGGTACACAAGTATACGAGTTGTAGATAAGGTAACGAGTGGAGAAATAATATTACTTGCTAGTCAACATAGTGAACAGAAGAGTAAAAATCTAATAAAGAATAAACAGGAAGGAACTCACACTAACTTGTTGCTGATGTTATTTTGTGTTGTCCTAACCAGTTGATTAGGAACAGGCTCCATAGCTGCAAGACCGATGCTAGTAGACAATGGTTTGTG